ACAAGGTCATTCATATCGATTTTATGTGTTTAATTTCTTTGTGTTTCATTGGTGATAATTAAACTTTTGATAGATATTATATTAAGTTATCTGTGGCAAACTTACAAACTCTTAATTTTTAACTTTGATGGTGCTCATTTTTCCTTACCTGGAATCAAAGAGTTTGTATCAATACGTACACTATTTAACAACTGTTCGATAATGATACTAAATAAATTACTTCAAGCCACACTATAACACATTTCCTCTTTTAAAGGTGTTCATATTATTTGAAACATTTTGCAACTCTAATTCTCTTCTACGTTTAAAGATTGTTATGTCCCTCCATATTAAGAAGAGGTCTGGAAAACAAAATTCTGTGCTAAAAATAGACCACGTGCTGCTATCAATGAACTACTTTCATGGTTCTTTACACTCTTTTTGAAGACAACGATACCTTGTTTTGAACTTGAAATTATCATTTAAAAGTGCAAAATTTAGACATCTTCTCAACAAATGGTTGTAGAGAGAACATTAATGCACAGTTTGCGTATTTTTTTGGATTTTTTAAGGCTCTGCTGAATTCTGTAGATGCGCAGTTCTAAGGAGCATATCAAAAGCATTTTTCTGCAAAAGTATAGATTATATATGCACAACATGCATTCAGTTATGCATATTTATTGTATCTTTATCATAAAGACTTAAAATTTGATCAAAATATAATGTACTTTAGCCATTTGAAGAAATGTTTACATTTTGTTCTCACTGCACTAAAGGTGGCCGTACATCCCCCTTAAGAACAAGCTGGTGCTCAAAGTAGTTCTAAACAATTCAGTACAGCAGTGTTTCTGCTTATTTTTAAAACCAAGGGTCATTATGACTCTTTGATATAAACTTTTGGGGGTCAAAATGATTTTTTGAGGGTCAAATAAATTCTGGTTTTGATTTCGGTTCTAACATTAGCTCTGCCTTCTAAGATCATATTATTGATATTTAAAATTTAAAAAAAATGAAAGTAAAATATAAATAATACATGTATACTTCTTTTATTTACCGGTACACAGTTACATTTTTACCGATTACTTCATGAGGGTTTCGTGAATACCTCAATCAAAAGATAACAACTGAAAGTGGTTGACTGCTTTACAAAACTGTTTATTAATGATTTGAACTTTCCTCACCTTTTTATTACCATAATTAGCCTTAATTAGCCTATTAGACAAAGCCAAGCTGATAAAAATATGCCGATGTAAGACTGAACTTGCTGAAAATGCTGAAGCGCCATTTTTATCTACACTTCCGGTTTTGTTAAGAATAAGATAAGTCGTACGAATTAAAGAATATTTCATAGATTGTTTACGTGGAAATGCCGATTTCAATCACTGCCACTTTGAAATTAAACTAAAAGCAATGATTAATTCCTAGAAAGTTGTCCAGAATATAAATTAAACATATAAAATATCTTTTTCTATGAAAAAAATCAATATTGAAATGGATTTTTAAAACTTGTTTTCATATTTTTTCTGCGTCATTATGACCCTCTAGGTGACGTTTTTGGGGGTCAAAAGTAATTTTTATGCGTAAAATACGCAGAAATATGCGTTAACGGAAACACTACATGTAAAAAATTCAGTACAAACTCTATTTGTTCCATATGCTTTGAATCTGGTTGTACTTCATGGTTATTTGGTAGTTTACATAGCAGCTCATCATCATCATGATTCTCCTGAGAGTATTTCATATCTGTTTACAAATTTACATGACCCTACTGCATATAGTTGCTGATTCTTTATAATAAACAAGCTGATGCTAAAAGTAATTTAAAGCAAGATAAGTTTGTGAAACAGTATGCCCCCAGTGTCAACAAATATAGAAAAGCTAGTTTTAGCAAAAAGATCAAGGTCTAAAGGTTACTGATGTTGGTGTAATCTAAAAGAACTTAATTAGTGGATTATGTATACCAAATATGATCTCACAGTTCAAAAGTCATGGTAAAGGTTAAAGCTGACAACAGATAGACAGAAAGGACAAATAAAAATATGTTCATGCTCTTTGGGCATAATAATTCAGTACATGTAAAAATTTCAATACAAACCTTTATTTGTTCCACATTAATTGGATCTGCTTGTACTTCATGGTTATTTGGTAGTTCACATTGCAACTGATCATCATCATGATTCTCCTGAAAATATTTTAGACCTGTTTACAAACTTACTTGAGCCTATAGCATATATAGTGACTGGGATATGATATATTAAGACATTAAACTGGACAAAGGGGATACTCCAATACTTGATATCGCGGTTACTTAACTTAGTGGAACTCTTTCGCGATGGAGGTAGGGAACGTCTGTTGGCTTGGGACAAATGTGCTATTGAATACAATGCAAGATCGATCATTGTAGAATTTTTGAGGACAGATAAGTAAAAAAATCCTAGTGGAATACCGTCCTTAACAATCGCTGAACCAGCCTAATTAATTTTTGAGAGGAGCTAATCCTTCAATGTTACATTTTTTACGATATTTTTAACTAAGCGGGCTCTTCTCATTAAATTTTCATTGAAAATCATGGCATTTTAAAGCTGATAAAATAATCTAATTTTCCTTATTTGACAATCTACTATTTGGAATTCAATTCTTGGCAATACATTGTACTTTCGGCATAAAATTGTTCAAATCATTCGATTGTCACTACTGTAAACAATGCCATTGTGCCCCTGTAATCTCGTGAGATTCGAGCTTTCTCGACTCCCCCGCAAAAGAGTGGTAGTAAGTTAGATAACTGCGAGGTAATCGCGATATTACATATTTAGTCTCACATTTTCAGAATTATCGTATTCGGAAATTGTGCCCAACCTGATCAAGGGCTTAGGAGGAATAGCACCCCACCCACTCCTTACTTTTTTTGGGAAGTCAAAATTTCCTGTAGTTAAAATTTATAAATCCTGGTTCCCCTCCCCTCCACTTTAAGGGTCAGGAGCAAATTTTGAAACCAGAGTTGAGTCTGTTATCCTAGTTTCCCTTCCCCAATCAATATTAGCAACCTCAAGTTTTGTCATCTTGTTTTAGTGTAGCTGCAGAACTGTAGCTCTCCGAAAATATATATTGATAGACCTGAGATAATGAGGTATAGTGGGTATGGCTATGAATTTTAAAAAATATTGTTTGAAATATTACTTATCAAAAGAACACTAATACGCAGACATACACGATTGGAAATCTACCAATTTGACCTTATCAGTGATTGATGAATATGCTCTAAATAATAAAGTCTGAAATATCTGGCATTTTTCAGGGTTTTTTTTTTTTTAATATTTTCTGTGCCAGGAAAACGTCAGAACCAGCGCCATTACGAAAACTTTCCAGTCAGAGTTGATTTCCCATACTTGGGAACCGCATTAAATGCCGTTGTCACAATTTATCAATGGCACAATGCTTTTAGTACTTGACAATATCAATGAAAAGAAAATAATCACTCTTCATTTCGATACAGGACTTGTATATTTTTTTTTAATTTGTAAACGCACGAAATGAAAACAAATCTCGACAGTCAGAGAAAATGTTTTCATCGGATCATATATTTACAAACAAACCATAAAAAGCTATATTGGTAAATACTAGAGGCATTGTACTATTGATAAATTGTGAGTTTGACAAGTAATTGCAAGTATCGAAAATACACCCGAGAATGCCGCCTTTTAGGCTTTTTCGTAAAGGCGCCGGTTCTGGCATTTTCCTCGCACGTAAAATATAGAAATAGTTAAAAAAGCCAGGAAAACGTCAGATATTTCGGACTATAAATAGTACTTTTCAGTCACCTACAAACTCTTGATGCTGTCCTGTCCTCTGTAACTGCACAAGACCTGCTTTAAACATCTTTACATCACACATGGTGTTTTTCTTCTCCGATTTCTGCTGCAACAGCAACTTTCTGTTCTTTATCAGCAGGAGAGTTCCACAAAAGGGAGATAATCGTTCACGCGTTTTCATATTTGTAGTACATTCTAAATCAAATTATTTGCTATAGAGTACCCAACTACCATTTTTTATTATTGAATTTATAACTTCAAAGCTCGTAGTTTCTATTGCATGTATGGTTATGATAGAGTTTGGTTGCGTTTTCGTGTAAAATATTTATAAAAATCATGTTGATTTTACAGCATTTGGTAGAAACAAAGCAAAGTAGGCCCCAAATGCTTTAAAATAAACATGGGAAAAATTAAATCTCCCATGTATATTAAAATTAAGAAAAACATAGTTTGATTCTGTAATTAATTTTAACAGGGTTATCAATAATCAAATTTCACACTTTTCAAGCATTTAAATCGCCGTTGCTATGGTAACAAGGAAGATGTGACCCAAATAACTCATGTTTGAAAGGACATCCATCTATACTTCCATGCACCCAAATATTAAAGCAAAAAAAAAAAAATTCACATTCCACTCACTTTATATACAATACTCAATGGTTACTGACACAGCCTCTTAAACACTAAAAAATATTTATTCTCAGATCATACAAGTAGTATGAAACTGCCCTTGTACTGGGACTGACTGCACAGAGGTAACACAGGCCGTGTTACAGAACTCAGGATACCTCTCTGGTGACAGGCTTGTTGAGGCTTGACTGTCTTTTCTCTTGAACTGGTGGTAAGACCTGAATAAGGCACACAGTTTTGGGGAATAGGCAGTGAGGGGTCACCAATATTAGCTAATACGTAAGACCTGTATAAGGCAGTAGGCTGATGGAGAGAGAGGTGGCATACCACAGAAGTGGGGGAAGTGCCAAGATGCAGCAGTACGGTTAGAGTGGCAGGACCAGAGAAATTCATTGCGGGAGACACCCGTTGACCACAGCTAGTGGTTATCCAATCAAGAAGAAACCCATTGTATTATATTTGTGTATATTTTTCATTTGGTCAACAAAAACCTGAGTTAACAGGTTAACGAACCCAAGTGTAACGCTTCAGTGATACAACACACATCACCACGCACCAAGCTCGGCCGCGTTGCACGTTACATAAGTAACAAATAATTATGAAAAGGAAAGCACATCATTTCATTACAGATATCACAAAAATCTACACACGATCACACGATCTACAACACGTACATCTTTGACTAATTAGACATATTTCATCAAGATATTACACTATTTAGTAGGCAACTAAAGATTTCTTAGGATTTTTGCATTCCTTCAAAATGGTTACATACATGTACCATTCAAATTATTACAGTAAGTTGTATACATTGTAATTTCATTACACAATATAGTCTTGGATTTGTCAACTTAATTAAGGTCAAGATCTAGTAAATAAAAGGTGCCTACTTACTAATTTTCACTTTATAGTATCAATTGCCATACCTCTAATAAATGGAGCTGAACGAAATAAAATTTACTTTTTTAAATTAAGACTTGCAGTTTTACTTACGATGCTATCAGGTAATGTAATATATCGCTCCGTTGAAAACATATCAGTTTATATTTACATTTCCAATGTCTTTGTCCAAGATAAAATTACAAATTGTAAATGTACTTTATTTCTCCATCAATGTAATGGCGCGGTTCCAAAAAAAACACGTGCAGGGTGGGACAAACAGCGAGACAGATACAGGGCTTGGAGCCCGTGGATCGGCGGGATCAAAGCATGTACAGATATAAGGAATAACTGTCAGTTTTTTCAATTTCGTGACGATGATCAATCAATTGGCATGTGTGATAATTTTATGCATAAACGCCTTCGGCGTTTATGCAAATAATCACGCAAGCCAATTGATTGATCACATCATGAAATCGAAAAATAAGACAGTTATTCCTTAACTAAATACATATGGATTTGATTAAAAAATGCACAAAAAAAAAAAAAAAAAAAAACCATGACGTTGGAGGATATCACGGAGCAGCGAGTAAGAATAATTTTACTTTACATGCGGGGAATTTTTTAAATAAACTTACAAAAAAAAAACTGTATAAACTAGGAGATGTATGAAAACTAAGCCTCCATTTTATATAAAATGAAAAAAAAAATTTTTTGAGTGGTAGCGAGTTTGGATCGGACGATGGATGGTCTGCAAAGAAACAGGTTATAGTTTAAAAATCTTGTCAAAAGAGTTAGGAAACTCATTGAACGTGATGTGCTTTCAGGATTGCGGAACTAATAGAGTTGCGCGGTAAAGAATTTGAAAGCACTGTCAATCTAGATCAAGCTATTTGCACAATTGTTAGCAAACTGTGTATGAAATTAAAAAGCAGAGTAATTTTGAGAAACTTTCTCAACGTTGCTTTTGACGTTAAAATGTTGATTAACCGAATTGTCTACGTACGTTTTGAATTACATGTACCCTCGTACATTTAAGAATTAAACAGCTGTCAATGATATCAAAATTTAATTTATCGTGAGAACATGGTTGTTTATATTGTTGAAAAGTCTTACGTTTTTATGCTGCTATCTTTTGGTAAATTTTTCTGAATTCAATTTTTAGAGTTCATTGTAATTTTTAAGTATCCACATCTGATTTACATTACTTCTCGAATATTTGATTGTGGATAATAATATTAAAACTTAGGTCAGACATGCAAAAGAGTATATAATAAAAAACATTGCATGTTCAAAATTGATTTAAAAACACTGTGGGTGTGACGGGTCTACCGAGAAATCTGACTCAACATGGCACCCACCGGACCACACTTCTGATGTTTTTAGAGGTCTCCGTTTGCTTTGCTCTCAAATTGTATTGTTTTAATGGATTTAGTGCATGAAAACTATTTTTCATATTTCGTTTACAGATTCGACAACTGTTGTTCATAGCTTAGCTAAGATGAGAAAAAGCCATATTTTTTATTCATGTGTACTACAGACAAACAGCACCTTGGAGCTAGTGAACCGAATGCAAGTCTTCATAAGAAACAGCGAGATAAATGTTTTATTTAACGAGGCCCGATCTACTTGATCTGCGCATACGTTTTAACGCAGCGTCGACTCAGACACGTCACAATACCCTTGACTGCCGTCACAGTTGAACACAATAACGTCACAATTAAAATGACGTCAAATTGCGCTAAAATGTTTCGCTGATCTTGCTTACCTAGTAGCTCTATAGACTGGGCATTGAAAGCTGGCATTTCTATTATCTTTTTTTTAAATATTTAAATAATAAACAACTTTGAAACCTAATTAATTGTGAGGGATCAATTTTGTGGTACAGATTCATAAATTTTATCTTGTTTTTTTTCAATTTGTGAGTTAAAAAAAAAACAAACACTGCAACGAAAAGTAAACGATTTTAGTCTTTCTCTATGAACATGTTTATACACACTCTTTTTATTGCGGACTTAAAATGCATAGATTATCTTCAGTTTTAAAAAATAAAATAAGTCCATTAATCACTTAAATGCAACCCCCAAAATATTTTATTTTTCTATATATTACATGATATTAGTAAAAATCGTAATTTTGTCGCTTTTACCCCCCCCCTCCTCCCTCTACCCCTTTTTTTCCACGTAAAACAACGTCGCATGTTAAGAGAAAAATAAAGCATGGCGAGAAAATTATTTCATAATGTAAGAATTATTTCATTTTTTAGAAACTAATACAGTATTGCAATCGTTTGTTGGTATTATGTAAACCCATTGCGACCTATAAAATACGTAGTTGGATAGAATAAATCCAAATTTTGTGTTTTGACATGCTCCCTTTTCACTGCAATAAAGGCTACCTCCAATTTTCTTTTCATATTTATATTAAGAAGAATGAAAATTGCATGAAATATGTGAAAAACAAAGATTTTCATCATGTATTTTTTTTAAATTTGTAAATTATTTAATTTCTTTGTTTATTGAAGAGTTTTAGTATGTAATTGTGTATAAAAACACGACAAATGGTCCATATCTTGACAGTGCCCCCATTTGACTACAATAAAGGCAAGGTAACAAAATTTCATTCTAATTTTTCTAAGCATAAAACATACAAATATATATCCAAGAATTGAAATTTTTTATCATTCCGTTTTCGTAATTTTCAACTAGATCGGGCCTCGTTAATTGTAGAAAAATTCTCAAGCACACAGTAGTAAAAAGAAATCTTAATCTTTATATAAGACATCTGTAAATAGAATATCATGGTTTTCTTTTCATCATAATAGGTTTAAATGCAATTGATGATCTGTATTGAACTTTTATTTCCCGTTCCCTCATAAAGTTCCTAATAGCACTAACACCTTTTTCTTGAACAAGGAATGGACAATCTTCTCCAGACCATAGCAAATGGTTTATCTGTAAATCTTGAAGAACACTTATGTCCTTACATACCCATTCTTCATAATTGCAGCTCGCACAAACTGCCAATAAGTCTTTCAAATTCAATGACATGACAACAAAACCTGATTTTGCTAGTTCTGTTGCCAACTCTTCGTTCTTTATAACGCAATTATGCATACGTCTATCGTTGAAGGTTGAAATATCATTTGGTATGTATGGATTTGCAGAAGTTGGGTTAACTGTAGGAATGTCATAATTATTTAATAGGTGTTGACAATCAGTATTCCAAAGGGCATGTTCCATAAGAATGGCACCTGATTCCAATTTATCCGTGTCAAATTGGCCAAATATAGCTTGATTACAAGCGTGGCAAGTGACTGTATCTGATATTCCAGCGTAAATGAATCCATCATCGGCCAATAATAGAATCTGGGTATCTTGAAATGGAGAATTTTTAAATGTTTCGATTCTTTTTGCCAAAGAAGCAAAATCTGTGGAACGTTTTTGAAAAAAAGTTGAGATAAATACTGCGTCCGATGTTATTGACCAAAAAAAGCAGATCATAATTTGTATGTCCCTGAACCTCACATTGTATGTCATTCTGTCATACTCTGTGTTGTAAAAATCGTACTTCAG